TTCATATTACAAGAAGTTTTAGAGAGATGAGGTCGATCGGATTATGGGTAAGCATCGGATAAAGTTGGATTTATATGAGATTGAAATGAATCAAATCTTACTCGGATAATGATCTTTCAGATATGATATCAAATGTGAAAATAAATCGGATATGGAGAAGTGTATGGGTATGTGCAACTTGGGTCGGATGTGTATCGGTTCTTTAGTTGAGTAGAATACATACTGAATCCAAAGAATTGAGATAAATGTGGGTGAGATAGATTCGGATGAGGTCAATTTCGTATAGTCATGGTTCAGATGAATGTGAGTCGGATGGAACTTGAACCACTTTTAAGAATAGATATGACATTTATTTCCCATTCAGATGAATGTAAATCTGATGATTAATCCAATAAGAGAGAATCTAAAGGATGAAATCCTTAATCAAATTGAAGAGATGATTTGTTTTAAGAGTAAGATTGGAGAATATAAGACAATACATGATATTTGTTGGATGGTGATTACTTCACTTCTATCTTTTGATCATATTGAACATCAGATGTTGTAAGGTGTACTTTATTTTTTTGGACCATTTAATGAAAAATATTGAAAAATAAATAGTTATAATGATATGACTAGTTAACATATAACTTGGTCATACATAATAATTTCATTTTTAGTATTTAACATTCATAATTCATTAAATAAAAACTTAAATCTTGATTCATCAAAAGGTTTAGTAAAGAAATCAGCTAACCGATGGTTTGTTGGAATAAAATGAAGTTCTACATCAACTTTTGTTATATGGTCTCAGATTAAATGACACTTGATCAACATATAATTTTACGGCCTAGGTGAAGACAACATCAGATAGAACTTTTCATGTACTTTTGTCAACCCATTAGTTGACCTTTTGGAAATGTTTTCAAGAGTAACTAACTGGTCCTTTTTTTTATACTCAGTGTTTGAGCAGGAAAATACCACCAGTCAATGTTTTGACCATTCACTATTCAATTATTAAATCTATGTATGACCTGGTCTCTACAAACAAAAGGAACTAGTTCCTAGGTACCCATCTTTTAATGGGTCTTTTAGGATTAGTAGAAACAACGTGTATTCCCATCTTGTTATGAGGACAGTCTATTGCATAATTGATAATTCTAATTTTTATAGTTATTACATGCCATTTATTCTGCAATTCTCTTGTCAATCTCGGTCATTTTGCTTCTTGAACACCCATCTTTGGTCTAATCTTCACTTCTAAGCATGAAGTGTCCACTATAGTATTTTTGAACCATTTGGTATGATTTTATGTTGCTTTCTCGAAAAATTGTCCACAGTGGGATCTACAATCTCGACTCCGAAAGTTTGAAAGTGAACTATGTGAAGCAGCCGGTTATGGAAGTTGAAAAGGTAGTGGGACAAATGCAGAAAAGCTACTTTTAGGACCTTCTAATTTTATCTTAGTTGGAGGCAATAAGAAAGAAGTCCAAGTGCTAAAAGACAAAAAGGTTGTTGCCAAACCCTTTTGTGAATGCTCCTTTTGTAGGGGAGAAAGTAGGATTGCTTCTTTCCTATTTTTTGCTTTTCTGCCATTTTGCCTCTTATATTAATAGTGGTGCAAACCTTGAGAGAGATAAGAACTAAATCTCTATGATTAAAAAAAGCATCGGTCTAGAAGTTAGAACAGATAAGATGTTTATATTTTAATTTTCAATCAATATTTACTTTCCAGTATTTTATTTTCCAATATCGTAATCTCGTGCCTTAAATAGTGGACACTGCACTTTTTATTCAAGTTTTTGAGATGCTTTCTTGCAGTATTTATTTTTATGCTTTCCTCCACCTTTCTAGTTTGATCTAAACATCTTTCAAGATATAGGGTTGGAAAGTACCCAGATTTTATGCATGGTACTTGAGTAGTCTCGATTTGTTTATGTTTTACATTTTGGTCATTTTTTTGTTTGATAACTCCCAATGATGCAAACAAGTTGATCACTTGAATGTGCCTAAATTCTAGTCCTTAACCTAGGGACGAGTTGGATGTCGTGACACGAGCTTAGGTAACGTTACAGAACTCGATAGGGTTCTTATAAACCAACGAGAGTTGGGCTTGCACTATGAGATAGACTCTAACCCACTTAAGCAGTAGGCAAACTAGTTTTTGTATCATAAACACTTAGATTGTTTTCCTCTACACATTCCATTTAACCTAAGAAGGTTCATTAAGGGTCATCACTGACAGAATTGAATACAAAATATTCGAGACTTTGACAAGAAGTATTAGTATTTGTTGTGACATAGTCTCTTGAAAGGGAGTGCCCACTCCCACATAGTACAATGAGCACTATTCTTGATCAAATGCTCACTATGAAATTTGGGGAAAAGCCATACCAACATCTTCTCTATTATCCCTATTCTTTTCTTAAAGTTATATGCACCAACAAACCAACCAATTTATTTATGTCATCTCTAATCAAAACTGGTAAAAGAAAGTTCATGAAAAAGTTATGTCTTGATTATCCAATCCATGTGGATATGATTCTGGTTCTTACCGCACTATACTTGAAATGATGATCATAGTGACTAGTGTATGCTTGCATCGTCCACTGTGGACTGTTTTCTAACCCACTACGACTACACTTGTTTCGTACGTAACAATGATGTTAAGGTTCCACAAAATTGTAGTATTTTATAGACAAAGAAGTTTTTGTAAATTCAAAGAACTTTTTTGTTTGCCTCGACAGTTAAAGTCCTCTTTAGAAAAAGAAAAATGGAGAAGATGAGTGGGTTTAGGACCAAGGATTCCTTTTTTAAGAGTTCTAGGAGGATATATTAGTTTTGACAACCTTTTTTCTCTTTTGACACATGGTTTGTAGGAGTGATGAGTTGAAGATCCTATAGACTCATAATCATTGTCCCCTGACACACAGTTAGCCAACTTTAATGTGATGCGTGGATTAAAACGTGTCATCTTTATTTTTAGAATTTTCTAAGGGATCAAAAGAATGATGTGTAAAAAAGAACGTTGTTCCAAAGTATGTGAAATCATTCGACACATTGTCTGAACCTTTTAGAGATGATGGAAAACCTAACCCATGACCACATTCTGGAATTTGATAGTGTATGATTTTTTTGTTGTCGATGGAAGCTTGATTCCATTTTGGACAACTTTTTTTTCGTTTGCTAGTTCACGAGCAATAATACGTTTTTCATGATTAAGAAATTGGCGGACAATATTTTGATCTTTTAACTCATTTTGAATTATGTTAAAATACTGCAATTCTTCAAAACATTCAGAAAGTTTGATAGTTAGTTTCTCTACTTTGATTTCTTCTTTTCTTTTAGATTCTACGCATTACACATGTCAACATACATGCGATCAAAAGATGGAGAAGGAAAATGTACGTTGATTTCATGACTAGGGAGATTTGAGTACTCAATTCTTAGAGAATACTTAGATCCAGCAGCATTTCTCTTCCTTGAATAGTTCGTGAGATGATCCATAAAGCATACATTTGATTTCTCTTTACTCATCACTAAAAGATGATGAAGATGAGTCTTCCTTTGCCTTTTGACCTATCTTTGAAACTACCTTTTCTGGAAACTTTATTAAAGTTTGAAGCAACTAAGGATAGGGAGTCACTGATATCTTGCATAGACAGTTCATCGGTCTCACAATCTGAATCTCAAGTGAGATCAATATTGGCATTATCATGTTGTTCCTCAGAATCTGTGTCATAGAGAGGATGTGACAATGATCTTGACTTTTTAGAGTTATAAGAGACAAAACATATTTGTACATTGGGCTCTTGAAAGACATCCTTCCTAAGAAGCTTAGTTTGTTCATGATTGTGCAAAGTTCAAAATAAATTATTTAAGGGGTATGATGAAGATCTTTAGAGGTTTTAAACACACAATTTTGTTTACTCAAGATTTTGGCAGACAATCCATAAATTTGTGTAGAACTTCAACATTATTACACTTTAAGGTCATTTAAAAGAGAATTGAAGTTATTGTAGACATCCGTAAGAGATTCGTTTTTGTTGCACACAAACAGTTCATATTGTCTAATGAAACTGATCTTATTACTCTTCTTGACTTTAGTCATTCCTTCGTGTAGAACAGTAGGAGCTTGCAATTGACAGGTTAATGATAGAGTGAGGCCTCATCCGGTATGACACCACAATGATAGTTCTAGCCTTAGTATCAATTGCAACTTGCTTCCCATAATCATTTATCCATAAATTTGGAGTTCTGATGATTTGCCTTCCTAGTTCGTTTATTTTGTCACTTTCATTACGATATCCTGGTAAGAAGGCAATAAGAACATATGGACCATTTTGAAGGATGCCAGGAATTTGAGTGACAACTCCTTCAAGAAAAAGAATCATCCTATTTTTCCAAAGAGAAATATTATTATTATTATTATTATTATTATTATTATTATTATTATTATTATTATTATTATTATTGAAAACCAGGATGTTCGGGTAAGGATCCAATGTCATTACTTATGGAAGTCATTACAGATCTTGTTTATAAATTTAAATAAAGCATATGACGACTTGTTGATCTTAGAAGGGTAATGATCCCACTGAAACTGTTTGTAGAAAGGGGTTGAATATAAACACATCAGTTTTTCACTTTCTTAATTCTTTATGTTATAAAAACAAAAGAATTACATATTTGGTGCGGAAGCTAGGAAGGTAAGACCTAAACACTCTGGATAAAAGTACCTGGAGGTCTCAGGTTCAAATCCAAAGAGGATTAAAAATCCCCTTGTGGCCGTAGAGGTTCAAATGCGGTGATTCCGGGCTATCTGCAAAGCAGGTGGTCGCCTGGGATTAGTCGGCTTGCATAGCAGGTTGGATATCCAGGTTAATGGGAAAAAAAAAAACTTGAACTTTTCATTTCCAGATAGGTCTTCTTTTCGGAATATTGAAGGTTTTTCTGGTTGTTAACTTCGAAACCAAATAGGATTAATCAAGACTACATAAGTTAACTTCAAAACTTGTGGTACCAATTCAAAGAATCAAGTACTAGTATATTATACATTCACAACAAGACTAATATCAATTGTTGTATATATTACACAAGTATATCTTACGTATCAGTGTCCCTGTAACACATACAACTACACGGCACGCTAAATTTGTGACTCCTATCAACATCCACGTGGGAAAAATACAATCTAACTAATAAGACGCTTTATTTCAAGTAATAACAAACCACAAACAATATGTGTATGCGATTACCTTAACTTTGTTGTTGACACACACAATCTGGAACCGGGTACGTATATATCGACTGTTTTGGCTTTCGTTCCTTGATTTCCCCTAATCGGTTTCGTTGCCCTTCGACAACCGCTTCTTGGAAATCCGACCAACTCATGCTCTTGTTCATGAATACCTGGCCCAACAACACCATGTTCGGTCTTATCGTCTTCAAGTTGAGGTATGTTCGATGTCCCACCTGTCCAATTAGCGAGATAAATATTAGAGCATCTCCAACAGATTCTCTATAACTTTTATAAAATAAAGATGCCGAAGTTTAAAAAAGATAGAAATTTACTTATAACTCCATCAATTTCTCTATTTTAGAAATTTCAACATTAATTATTTATTATTGAAGTATTTTATAAGTTCATCTTTCAAATTCTTGTACATAAAATAATAACGCATTCAACTAATAAGTGGAAACAATTCTCTCTTAAACATTAACGTTTTATAGGAATTTATGGAAATTTTGACCTTTTTATTCTCTCTCCTACTTTTTTTAGTTTCAAAGAAAGTATTAGAAAATCTAGAAAATTTGTTGGAGATGCTCATACGAGTCTCAAATATAAGGACCTTATTCGGTTTAATCAAAGAAAACGATTAACGAATTATAACCTAACCGGATATTGTTTAACCCAAACTCCATTCGGTTCGGATACGGACCAGGGAGCGTGAGGGTTTAGAATATATTTTGACGACTACCGATCAAATTTTGCCGATAAATGGCTATAATTCTTACCATTGCATTGTGCATATTCCCCGGGGAAGCCGAAATGAAGATGTCACTGTGCATGCTAACGTAGTAATCGACGGCAGCCGACAAAGAAGCCTTCCCGTTTATTTGTGCCCGTTCTGCTGACGATGCAAGGCTCTTTTTGTCTTCCATATACGGAAATAGTTGCCGTAAGGCTGCGATCCTAGCTTCTCCACCATACACCTGTAGGATCGACTACTGGTCAAATGTCTAAACTACCCTTCAATAATTACGGAATATGGTGAAAAATAAACCATAACGACCTTATGTGACGCAAGGTACAAACGGGTAGTGTTGTCAAATCCCAATGCCGCCAGCAACAAACCGATTTCTTCGGGTGTCAACGGACACCGCCCCTGGTTCCTCAACTCCTCGTTGGTGAACCGTGAATTCATGACTCTTCCTTGCCAAATCGTCTGACGGTATTTCGCTAGCGCCAACTTCTCGGCTTTTCCGCCACCAAAGTCACATGCGGAATGAGCAGCCATATCCTGAAATTCAACCGGATATTCAAAATGTAGCAAAATGCATCAAAATGCAACAAAGTTTGGTTTAGTTCCCGATTTGTGCAACGAAGAATATTTTTTCCTCGATAGATGTAACAAAGTTTCAAAATTTTCTATTTTGTACTCATTTAACCTACTGAGCTTGTAACATCTGAAGACGTGGATACCTATTTACGAAATGTTTACATAATTGCTACCACAAAGTGGACAAAAAACATAACGTTGACGTCATCAAATGTTACATTAAATAGAAAATTTCAAAACTTTGTTTTTGAAACTTCTTTTGTTAATCAGACCATCTCGTGCCTATCTCGACTAATCCCAAGGGCCTAAGGAACAGCCAAGAAAAATCTCAATGACCTTGCGGGACTCAAACCGGTGACCTATGAGGAGAGCCCCAAAGACCAAAAAAGTCCCCGTCCAAGAAATAAATCTTTGTTACATGAAATTTTGAAACTTTGTTGCATTGACAGAGAGAATTTATTCGTAACGCTAAATACGAACTAAATCAAACTTGTTTGCATTTTGCCTGAATTAAGAAGGATAGAGGACCAAAAAGTTGTAGCATACCTTGTCGAAGCGCAAGTGCAGGGAAACAAACTTGCCGGCTCCATGGCCGTCTTTGGTATCGACAACTTGTCTAAGGTACTTGGTCCCAACGGCATCGATACTTTCGACAATCGGGTATCGGAGACGGCTCACCAATGCCTCGCCAAGACTTCTAACATGAGAAACAAAAACCAACGCTTCAAAGTTGACTTTGCAACGTAAGCGTTGGATTTCAATGGGCATGTTGTCAAAAGCTAGTCGATGGGAAAACGGTGATATCGCAGCTATCCCGTAGCTGAAATGCAAAATTCGACTTCAATCCATTAAGATCTCCAACGAAAATGGAGAATCAAAAATCAAAATCTCCAAAAAAAACAATTACATTCAACTCCAAAAACTTGTATATATTGGTGATTCTAGCATTCATTATATTACTTTGAAATATTTAATGAAAAATTATTTCTTTCTCCTAAATATTTAATTTCAATAAATCTTATTGGTCGGATAACTCCAAGAACTTGTATATTTTAGGAATTTAAATCTTGTGTCCCCAAATCCTATATCTCCTCCCCGTCCCTTCAATCACGGAAAGACACATAATTATTTTATTTAATACAAGTTAATGTACTTTTCGCTCACATTCTCTCTGTAGATGATGTTTTTCATGTGATTGATGGACAGAAAGAGAGACATGGGTTTTGGGGACACGAGATTCTTATTACAGAATTTAGGGAGTTTTACAGATTTGGAGAATTTTACCATATCTCTCGTGCTTTTTCCATATTGGAGAAAGTTTTGGAATGAAAAAGTAGCCTAAAATCCCGAAAATCTCAATTTTCTACATTTTGGAGAATCTGTCCGACTATTATTGATGATTTATGTTAGTAATTTGATCAAAATTGGACGAAAAATGATATTATTAGCTATTTTGTAATTCCAGAACGGAAAGTGGTAATCAAGTTCGACAACTAACAGAGGGAGAACTCATTTTGCAAGAAGGTAGTTTATACCAACCTCTCAAGAACCGGAGAAACGTTTTCCAGGTACCAATTTGCCGAAGCATGAAGTGGTGCATTTTTAACACGGGTAGATCTAATGGCGGAAGCATAGTATTCTCGTGTGCTCCATGCATATTCATCGGGCAACTCGCTAACTATTGATATATCATCCTTCAATACATTCACAAAATGATCGACATCGAAAATATCCGTAAACGAGCTGCAGATGAACAGTACGATCAGTTTCAAACAAATACATACAAATATTAGCTGAAAGCATATAAAAGTCGATCGATACTGTTTAACGACCTTGTGTCTTGCCAAACTGGATTCACTTCGAGATATGGTATCACGAGCGTTGCGTTGAGAATTTTTGCGACTGCAACAGCGTCACATATCTAGTAGAAGATACGGCAAGGGTGAGTAAAATGGACCACAAGTGACGTTCCCAACACTTGCTCTTGATGTTTGGTGCCACATTATAAGATTCCTCCATTGAATAAAAATCTGTTGTCCCCAAATTCCCTGTCTCGCCATTTACTTGAAGACAAGTCATTATTTTATTTAATATAAATTTAACTAATTCATCTTCTCATTCCCTCCACTCAATAAGTAGATGATGTGTCTTCACGTGATTGGTAGACATGGGGATGGGAGATTTTTATTCTCCTCCATTTCGTCTTTTTGACAAAGTCATACGTTACAATTTTCGGCAAAAATACTAGAAAAACATCAATATTAAGAAGCTTCTCTTTTCGAAAATGTACAAAACGCACCCCCATTCTCTGCTGGTTCAATCCTCCGTCAAGGAACACCTGGATGTATCCTGAAGACTCCGGCAATGATGCTTTAAAGAAATCAATCCGTTAGAAATTTTGGATGTATAACACAATAACACGAAGCAGGGTCATTGACCCAACAGTATCCAGTGGATCCAAACCTCCAAACCTCCCCAGAGGTCGGGGGCTCAGGCCTCACCAAATGTGAGAAGTGAGTATGTAAATAATGTACTTCAAAAAAATATAAAGTGGTTCTAAATTTTGTCTTGGAATTCGTCACTTACAAGAGGTGGAAGTGGGTTCAACAAATGGTTTCCATCCTTGGTTCGACAAAGGCATCCAAAGATCAGATAGTTGTTCATTCGACTTAACAAGATAGCAAAGAAAGTGAGTAATGAGTCTCAGTAAACCAAACCAAATCAAATGAGCCCTAAACCCTAAACTAGTATATTCCAATCGGGGGTGGGGTGGAGTGGGGGTGGGATGTATAGAGACATGACATCTACCCCAACGAGTAGAGCACGTGTTTCCCCCACGTCTGTGAAAAGTGTGCGAGTTAAAGATAGTAATTAATCTAAGGAGCCGTTTACCAAACATTTACCCAGGTAAGCAGTTAGCAGGTCCATTACCTTACCAGATGAATATGGTAAGGACCAAGAATCTTACCTGTAAGAGCGAGATAAGGACCAAAAGACTTACCCAGTAAGTGAGGGCGACAACTCTTACCACGGTTAGCTCTTACAGGGTAAATTGTTGCGTACGATGCCGTTTTTGTGGATTAAAATCTTACCCGGTAAGCAAATGATAGTGTTGAATTTTACCTGTAAGGCTTACCAGGTAAGTGTTTGGTGAACGGTCCCTAAGTGAAAACATTTATTATGAAACTCACGGCTTGGTGTCGTAAGGCGCTCTTAAATAACCGTGAGTGCCGAAGCTTTTGGGCATTCAATTCCTGCGAAAACATGTTCATGTTATGAGACACATGAAAGTATTTTCAGCCCCTTAAGAGTAAATCTGTAAATGTATCGACTCGTTCCATACTATAACCAAAAGGGACAGAAACAGAAATCAACACATAGATTTTTATAATCTCGTTATCTCTGTTTTATATAGTTGCATGCAGTCATCATATAAACAGATAATATATCTCTCAATATTCAGGTCTACCTACAACTCACCCCTCCAAGACCCTGCTTTCCAACGAGAAAAGAAAGGAGAACCCTTGTTTTTATTCTAAAACTCCCAGAGGATGCTTTGATGGAGCAAATAAACCTACAGAAAATGACATAAATTTGCTACGAAGGTCCCGTTACACTAATCGCAATGATTCTGGATCCATCGAGTTGAAAATATGCCATTGATTAGCCCAAAAACAAGTAAAAAGGCACATAATTTTGTGAAGATGTTCAACTATAAACCAGTATCTAAAATACCCTTTAATGAACCGATCAAAATAAATGCCAGAAACCTTGAGGGCTAGCTCAACAGGCATAACAACGGATAGGAATAGGTTGCTAGTTTTGAGCCCTCAGGGATTAGTGGAGGTGCGTGAAAATTGACCCGGACACCCATCCACAGTTAACAAAAGAAATGCCATAAGCATCCAATAATGTTTTCTTTCATTTTGATCCAAAATCATATTCCCCATATCCTGTGCTACAGATCTTAAAAGATGATGCCTAATGACCACCAGATATGCAATTTTATGTCGAAAGTTTATAAAGAAAGAAACCATGGCTGCACAGTTGTGCCCTAATGGTTGATCAAACTTGCATAACTAGAGACTTCAGTTTTCCTCAAATTCCACAAAAGAGCATAGAGTTTTGGAAGTTGGAACAAATTATAACAGAGTTGACTTGCATTACTCCCTTAATTATGGGTTAACCACTCTTTTAGATATTTGAATTATGTTATTTCAGGCAAACAAACAACACCCCAAAATCAACAACAACCTAATTAAAGAATGAAATGTAAAATACCCACAAGGAATGAAAGTCTGAAAAGGGAATTAAACAAAACCCCATGATTCCCATCTTCCTATACATTCACATCATAACTATGGAAATGGGTTTTGTGATAAAAACTGGGAAAAAAAAGGGGGGGAGGGGGGAACAAGAAATTTACTCACCGACAAAACTGGCGTAGTGGCGTGACCAGATGTAACAAAAAGGGTTATGAAGAAGAAGAAGAGGATCGGAGCAAATGACAAACCACCGTGATGTCGGTGGAGCTTCATATTTGCCACCGGAAAAGGCTGAGAAAGACGGTGGGGTTTTTGGGTGAAATGAAAGGAGCAAATAAGGAAAGCAGAATGGCAGAGAGGTGGTGCTTGAGGTCAATGAAATCACATGGGCACACCTCTCTTTGTCGTACATTCGAAAACAATATAATATAGATTGATAATAAGTGGTGTGATATATATAATATGGTTCAAAAGAACAGCTGCAAGCAATCAATTAGTGTGCAGAGGAAAGAGAGAGGGAGATGAGGTGTGTGTCGCTTTATTGGAGGTCGATGATGCATTGAAGGCGGAGAAAGTCACCGTTTAGTAAAACTTACGTGTCATAAAAAGACAACAGAATCACTGATGTGAAAACTGGTGCTGTTCGGAATATATACCACTTTTTCACTTCAAAGATATTGCTTACAATCTACATTTTTGATTTTGGTCCTCATGATTCCATGAAAAGTCTACAAATGGAGTTTAACATTTCATAAACCTACAAAGTATCCTTATGATTCCTGATCGTTAACTTTATTAATAATATTCGTTAGAGTGTGAGACATTTCTGTCTCTTTTACGTATTTCTTTAATTTCCTTTAAAAAATTATCTATATTATATTATAAAGCATCTAGTTAAAATTCTTAAACTCGTTCATCCCTAAACGATTTCATCTCTATCTGATTTCATCCCATATTTGAACTCGTGTAACTAACTGCAGATAAACACAATCAAATACA